CATCTATCTAGAGTCCAGACCCTGCTAAGATGGGTCAACTTGCATATATGCTAGCCTTATTTAGACTATTAATCTCAATCAGACCCAGAACCCTTGCCAGCTAACTCGGGACCCTAGGTAGCTTACGGAGTATTCATAGGTCGGATAGGGCGTGGTCCAAGATTGTCAATAAAGAAAACCTTCAGAAATCCGATGGAAATCTTTAATACGCCCAGAGGTCTTGGGGTTTTAGGTGCGGCTGTTGTCTGTCGCTGTAATCCGAATATTTACTGCATAACAAGTGTGGTGTTACAACTCGAATTTCATGGTCGGCATAACGGGACAAGCAGGCTACAACAAAAAAAAAAAAAAAAAAGGACAGCAAAATGAATAAATCACATACACATCAGCAATAAGCGCACACCTGTGTAAAACTGGTTGCTGGTTTATGCGTGTGTTTAGTTCATTGCGCCTCTTGTATTTAAATTTCTCAGATTCCCTGTTCTTTTTGCAGATCGCTTACGGCCTACGGAAGCTCGATCCGCTCGCTCGACGGGCCAGACAAGCCATGAGGAATCCATCACAATAACTAGATATAAGAGTTCACTTTATAATACATTAAAAAGCAACTAAAGCAACATTAAAAAAGAGATTCTTTCAGCATTACAAAAGTAGTCAAGCATTCTACTATAACCAATTGCCAGTTGAATTTTTTTTTTAAGCTTATTTTAGCGTTGGCATTTCGTCCCATTCTTAGGAGCAAAGCGAAGCAGCTCTTCTCTGGTTGCCACCTTTGCAAATCTGCTTCGCAGGTTTGCTCAGTAAAGCATTTTCATATTTTGGCTAGGTGTTGCAGCTTGCCTTCCATGTAGGGAAGGAAGCTAGGGTTAGCCACATGTATTAAGCCGGCCTTCGGCGCAGCAGGACACAAAGAGAGTAAACTTTTCGTACTAGGTAGAAAAGGCAGCACAAGTTCACTATGCGAGTTGACCACTAGCTGCGGCAGTGGCTCTGTTCTTGAGAACGATGCCGCGCCAGCTAGCTTGAATGACTCCGTGGTTTGTTCTCGCCTTGTGCTTTTGATAGCGGTCTGACAAGCTGGCTTTCTGATATGTTTGTGTGTGTGTTTGTAAGCCAGTTTGAAGGTACGTTCCCGACTTTTCATAAATCAATCAGCTAAAATAACTGTTTATATTGTTATAGTACAGGTTATATACACAATGTGGGCCTTGCGTGTTTTAATATTATTATTATCAATTTTCTTCTTAAAAAAATTGAATGAATGAAAGAAGGTCAGGTTGGAGCAAAAAAGGAAGAGACACACACAGAGAGTGAGCAAAAATAAATAAAAGGGAAGAAAAGCAAGAAAGAAAAAAAGGGGGAATATCAACAAAACGCAAAAGGCTCATAGTCTAAAATAGGATGCGAGTGTGGCGACCTGCAACTGGAATGACCTCAGTAACTGCAACTTTGGCATAGTTCCTACTGAGCTGATCTCTCTAGAGGAAGGAATTTGAATAGAGTTGTTGCAGTATAATAGAAAACAAGGCCCCAAAGACGGACTAGGGTCCATTGAATTCATGGCCCCAAGCTCGTTACTCAGTTAGCGGCCGTGTGCTAACGTCCTTGAAGTGGGGATATAAGAGTAACGCACTAACAATACTGATAGTTAGGGACAAAGTGGTAAGCATATGGGTTATTTAAGGTTGAACGGTTTAGAATATACAATAGAAAGCTATACAGCCAAAGGGGGTGTCGTTGAATACTTGTTACTACAGGCTTATTCTTATCTGTAAGAATGCAAGTACTTGATGGCTAAGGATGCTACGAATTAATTACTCACCGAATCTTTTTTAGTCCTTCTTCCCATCGACAAGATCTACATTTATAAACAAGTAGAACTATTTTGATAGGGTGTAGAGATATATCAAGCTCCAAGATATTGCATTGTAACCGGCTCGCTGCTGTTCGAAGCGCCTTCACAACATGCAAACAGCCTCGATAAACCTCGGCAGGGTACTTGTCACGGGACATTGATCCTTGCAACAATAAAGCAACAATGCCTGAGCTATAAACCATTCAAGATTTATAGAACGACGTTAGCCAGACCTGCGTTATTTCAAGCAGGGTCCAGGAAAATCCGACAAGTATAAGGACAACTTATCATTATTAAAACAAAGACATTATGGAAAGAAGAAAAAGGAAGTCTACAACTGCACGCACAACTACACCGCAAACAAACGCTTTCCGTCGAATTCACGTCATGCCATAAATCCAGGAGCGTTAAAGCGGCATATCGGCGTTCCATCATGACAGGCACATGCACATATATAAGCCTAACATGAAGCTAAATAAATGGCTTTATTTCTTACAAATTTGATAGCGAAAAGTTCCTAAGTTATATGCGTTGTAAAATAACAGCGTTAAGCTGGTTACAGCATCTTTTCCGGGACACAAGGGCCGAAAAATCATGACTAGAGCCAAAAAGATTCCCACAACCCGGTAGGTCGCCACTAGAGTTATCTGAAACGATCCGTATCGGGAAACTGATCCATCCCGGTCCTTAAAGCGAGCCAATTATAAACCACCGTTTCTTATCACCCATTGAGTATCAAACGGAAAAGACGGCATCGTAAATTTTACGTCTGGCAAGTGACTGGTGATAAGAAGATGTCAAACAGATAAGAAGAAATAGAAAGGCCATAAAAACATGCCATACGCGATTCTAAATTCTTTTCCCCCCTGGGTTACACGTCGGCTTTGCTGTCGTGTGATGTGAAGCCCTATTTGCATTGGCTGCTTGTCCTTCCTTTAAATCTCCCAGGCCATCAATTCGTCACCATGTCCATTGAGAAGCGCGACCTCGAATCGGGGTCCCCGACACCCGAAGGCATTGTTCAATCTGACGTCGAAGCGGGCCGGACCATTGTTCTCACGACAGATCGCGTGCATGAGTTGCAGACACGTATCGCAGTCTTGCGGTATCTAAACGGCTTCGAATCATGGCTCGATCGTAAACTGGGCGTTGAGACGCAAGGCATAGATCGGATTCCAGAGGAGGAGAAGCGTCCGCCGTCGGTGTGGAATATTTTTCTCATGTGGTGGTCACTCAACATCCACGTCGGCGTCTTACCATTGGGTTTGCTGGGACCGGAATTTGGCCTCTCTCTGAAACAGTCGATTGCGGCTTCAATTATCGGCATAATACTCGGTGCGCTGATGACTGCGACTACGGGAACTTTAGGGCCAAAGGTAAGAAAACTTCAGCGAGGTAGATAAGCTCTAAACATGTTTCTAATGAAGGCAGCTCGGTATGAGACAAATCGCCGTATCTCGATACTCTTTCGGCTTCTGGGGCGCCAAACTGTGCAGCGTCCTCAACATAGTCGTGGGTGGTGGCTTTGCAGTCGTCAACTATGTCGTCGTTGGCCAGATTCTCAGCGCAGTGTCAGGCTATACTATGAGCATCACTGTTGGCATCGTCATCATCGCTGTCATATCTTATGTAGTATCCATCTTTGGCTTCCGGCTGATTCACACTTTCGAAAAATACTCATGGATCTACACGTTTATCCTCATCTGTGTTCTCATCGGACAGGCGGCGCCTCATGTACAGACTGATCTCCCAGGCGAGGACGGCAGCTCGGGATTGGTATATTCAGGGACGTTCCTCACCATCGTTGCGATCAACTTTTGTAAGTCTTTGAACTCATCACCTTGTTTAGCATGCCCTGACTCATCATTGCTAGCCAACGCATCGGGTTGGTGTTCCATCGCCGCAGACTACTACTGCAACTTTCCCGCCAGCACTCCTGCTTGGAAGACCTTCTTCCTCACTTTTTGGGGCATCGTCATCCCCACCACGTTTTCCGTCACTATCGGCTGCTGCCTCGGAAACGCTGCCACTACGGTTGCTTACCCCCCATACGCCGATGCCTACACTAACCACGGCCTGGGTGGCCTCATCGGCGAGATCTACCACCCACATGCTTGGTCCAGGTTCTGCCTCGTGCTGCTCACCTTTTCTGTCCTCGGGAACAACATTGCCATCAACTATTCATCTGGCCTAAGCATGCAGCTGATGGGTAATTATTTCCACGCCGTGCCTCGCTTCATCTGGTCCCTGGCTTTTGCTGTTGTGGTGGCGGTGCTAGCCATTGCGGGACAGCAGAATCTATCCAATGTAGTCAACAATTTCGTGTCGCTGCTAGGCTATTGGACCGTTAGCTTTACCATGGTGTTACTGCTTGAAGATCGTGTTTTTCGCCGCAAAGAGGGCTACAATCTCGAGGCCTGGGACCAACCGAACTTGCTCCCTTGGGGGGTTGCGGCTGTAACAGCCTTACTGGCAGGATATCTCGCCGGAGGTGTACCGGGCATGAGCCAGACGTGGTATGTGGGACCCATTGCGGCCAAGTTTGGTGGCGATGGAGGCGATGTGGGCATATATATGAGCGCAGTTATTACAGTTGTTGTGTATACTGTGGGCAGGTATATCGAGAAGAAGTATACTGGCCGATAACAATGCTCAAAGTAAACTACATATGTATATAATTGTAATTCCAAGCACATGATATTTCTATCATAGAGTTTATAGAGCAGCAGGACAGATGCTGCACTGCCATAGTACATGCAAATAATAAGACAATGAAATCATTTCATTCATTCTAATACTTGACAATATATATACTATAGGCTAGTATAAGATATAAAGTTACTTCTGAGAGAAACCATTTTTACTCCAGGGATGTGCTGGCTATTACAACTGTATGGAGCAGATCAACAAACTCATTATTAACCACCTGGGCTCTATGTAATACCTACTTCAATTCGGCTTAAGCTGACTATATAAGATTGAATGGGTGGAATAGGACAATTCCATGTATCCAGCTGCCAGTATCAAGCTGCCTATGTGTTGTCCAACTCGTCTCTCCAAATCGCAAAGATCTATAATCCACATAGCGTCGCTGAAATTCCAACAAGCAGCAACCGCTTAGAGCCTAGCCAACTTGCTTATGTAAGCCCGGTTAGCTCAATCGGTAGAGCGTGAGACTCTTATTCAGAGCACACGATCTGATATCTCAAGGTTGCGGGTTCGACCCCCGCATTGGGCTTTTCCTATACAAGCACCTAGCTGGGATATCGCAGCGGTTATTTTTTTTTTTTTTTTTTTTTTTGGCCTTTTTTTCCGTCTACAAGTTCACATAAACACAGCATTTATCAGGACACACGATAGCAGAATCACATGTATTTAGGGTATCACCATCATGATCTGAAAAGTAGTCGTCATTGTGTCGGAACTTTTATGCGGCACAAGCAGTTGGGACTGATTACATGTACATTATTCCTCTAGACGAGAGGTGCTGATACTGAAGGCTCATTCTACTGAAACCAATACAGTGGCAGGGTAATATGACTTCTCGCTCTCTCGGTTCCTACATAGCGTGGGGGAAACAGCGTAAAGCCGCATATGCATTCGAGCGGATCTTGGTTTATAGGTTAAGGCAGCCCACTTCCATGCATTCAAAATTTGAATCTTGCATCAATGTGGCTTCAAACAGCAAACTATCCCATAGATATCACTCTTTCATTTACTTACCGAAATATAGATTACATAGTCTGTATGCTGGCTGCCTGTTGTCCTCTTCTTATTGGCTCCGCTCAGATAGTCCTTCCCGACAGCGAAGAAAAATACCTCAGGGGCTGCAGATATGCAATCTCTAACCCTCTGCTCACCTTGCCAGAGCTTCATCAGCTGGACAAAGAATCCAAATCCACCATCAGAGGCCTACTTTATGATACCCTACAAGCCGGATTTTGAAGCACTCGAAGTTTCAGCAGCCCAATGCCCACTATGTCAATACGTGTTTCGAGTTGTTCTGAATGGGAAACCTCGTTATTCTGGCTATGACCCAATTCAAGTGTCATACAGAATATTCGCGGAAGTCAAAAATAGTTCAGAAAGAATATTGATACATGTCACCTGGGTGGAAGACCTTCCGTTTCCAAGCGCAGGACCTAGAGACCCTGTGTATTACCTTGCACATCCTCAGAGTGAGTTCAACTACGCCATTACCACTCAATATACCTGATGTTAAAAGGGAAAACTAGGTGTTGAAAGTAGGGCTATGTGGCAAGAGAAGATGCCGTCGTTCGAATCTCGCCTCAATGCCATCTCAAAATGGCTATCAGACTGCGACTGTCACCATGCTCGGTGTGTGGAAAGACCATCCATTAGGCCACGAAGACTTGTGGATTTAAAAGAAGTTGAAAGAACAAAAAGAGTCAGGTTAATTGAGACCTCTACTTCTGTCGGCGTAGATGTTCGCTATGCTACTCTCAGTCACTGCTGGGGACCCAAGACCTCTAAGCCGCCACTTAAGACTACTTCGGAGAATATAACTCATCATTATAAAGGTAAATCATCTTTTGTTAAAACGATATTGCTACACTCAACTAACAATGTATGAAGGTATATCATTAGATGATTTGAACCTGAACTTTAGAGACGCAGTCGTAATTGCTATTAAGCTTGGTGTCCAGTACATATGGATTGATTCCCTCTGCATCATCCAAGACGACTACAGCGACTGGGAAACTGAAGCAGAAAAGATGGCAGACATATACCGTCAAAGCTATATCAACATTGCTGCCTCTGCTGCACACGATGCTCATGGAGGCATAGTTGATTTATCTTTTCTTCATATTTCCAAGGATATACGTACTGCCGTAATTCGTTATAGCCCTGGAGACCCAACCGTACGATACGCAGGGGACGAACCTTGTGAAGAACTGATGATTAGGCCTTCGGCACTAAAACAAGAGTACCGTGATCTTCTCTCCCGTAAATCGTCCCCATATTTTGCAAGGGGCTGGGTCCTCCAAGAAGTCGCACTAGCGCCGCGGACAGTATATTTTACAACCGATCAAATTATGTGGCAATGCCGAGAACTTTTCGAATCAGAAGATGGAACATGGTCTGCAGAAAATGTGATTCCCACGTTGGATTACAGTTTTACAGTTGAAAACTGTTTCGACTTTACAAGCAAGGTCCGGGCTTATTCTTTATGGCAGATGTGGCTGAAGTCATATGCAACACGAGAGCTCACATATCCTTCTGACGCGGCGGCGGCGGCAGCAGGCTTAATTAACTACTATAAATCTGCTACTGGTCATACACCCATGCTTGGACTATGGAAAGAAACACTACACGCTGATTTGAAGTGGTCCGTTCGGGGTGGTCCGTTTAAGGGCTCTCAGCCATCGGACAAACTACCAACAAGCAGTTTTCCATCCTGGTCTTGGTTATGCATACTTCCGCGCGGTGAATCTGGAGTTGGATTCCAAAACATTATATATTATGACAAAATAGTTCCGTCTCTTCGTGTTGAAGAATGGGAAGAGAAATGGAGCGGTCCTGCTTTTACATCGAAGCTTGAGTACGCGAAGTTAGTGATTTCAACTTTTGCACAGGACGGTATGCTTTCAATCACACAGAAGGGAGATGCAAAGGTTGAAGTGAATGGAAGCTGTGCATGGCAACAATTCCCAACAATCGAATACCAGCTACCCCCAGGATCAGAACATGCTGTTAAGCTAGCTCATATCGAGCAGGCCATATATCGACACAAGGATGGGAAAGCATTTCAATACCGTGATAGCTATCTTGTTTTGAGGATGGCTGCGAGTGATCCTCCGCGCTACGAGCGACTCGGGTTTGGTGAATTGGACTGCTTCTCGATGGATGATAACGTTGATAAGCCGGGCCCGACTGGTCACTTGGAGAGATATTTCAAGGAATCAGACCGGCAGAGCATTGAACTGGTATAATACTCACGAGAAAAGAGACAGTGGAGGAGATTTCAAATACAAAAAAATAAATGCCTGTCTTACTGTTTCCTAGCCTAAGATGTGTTTCCCAATTATTTTCACGGCTGCTGCCATCAGCAGTTGAATGGAAGTCGAGCATTATCCTAGAGCGATTAAGATGAAAATCTTTCCTCTCTTTTCACGGTGCCTGTGTTTGTTCAAATTCGTCACGACAAATGATATAACCAGAATTTGTAATTTATTTGCTACACTATATTACGGCAGCTATGCTCAATTAAAATCCAGAGGAAGGGGCAGAGTGCATTCGAAATGGCCCATTACAGAAAACCCTCAGTTTTCAGGAATCAAAGGAACTTCTTGAGTGGCGCAATGAACACCGCCCCCTAAGATGGGAAGCTGGTCAATGAGAACGGGGTAGATTCTCCTCTCCTCGCCGAAGAGCATTTGAGCAGCTCTGATGGCTGCGGCATCATGCGATGGATCGCCAAACTGAGGCAGGATTATACCCCCGTTGACCAGAAGGTAATTGGTGTAACTTCGCACGGCACGATCGTCTTCGATGCCCTTAACCCGGAGGGCGCCCTTCGGAGGAGGCTCGAAGAGATCCTCGTCGGGCTCTTCCACCTCTATAATCTCAAATGGACGGCCTCTTGCGTCTGTAGCAGAGCTTAGAATTTCAAGGGCTTCCTCGTAAACGACCGTCCAGTCCGTCGGCTTCTCCTCATTGGCTTTGCTCAGGAGAATGACACCTGGACGGACGAAACGGGCCAAGGCGTCGATGTGGCAGTCAGTCGAGTCAAGTCCTGGCCTGCCGGGAATCCAGATGATCTTCTCAACACCAAGAGTGCGAATAAGCTCATTTTCGATCTGTTGGCGGCTCTTGCCGGGGTTTCTATTGTCATTAATAATAGAGCTCTCCGTTAGTAGAAGAGTCCCCTCGCCGTCGGTCTCTAGCGCGCCTCCTTCGGTCACGATAGATGTTTCAATACGCTCAATTCGCTTCTCTCTCAGAAACTTCTTCGCAAATTCAGTGGTCGTGGGCGTGGGGTACCTTCCGCCCCAGCCGTTGAAGTTATAATCAAGGCCAGCGAGACTGCGGTTATCTCTAGGACCCTCCTTAATAACAAATACTGGTCCAATGTCCCTCAACCAGACATCCATGCTATCCCCTTCAATGCGGTGCAGTTGGATTGGGAAGGGGGTTACAATCTCGCTGAAGTAAGCTTCGGCCTCCCCAATGCGCTCAGCACCGACTGCAAGAGTGACAGGCTCAAAGTGAGCGATGGCCTGGGCAATATTTGACACCTCCTGTGTTGCTTTGGCCAGCATATCTGGGTAGTCCTTAAGGATTCCCTCCAAGCCCGGCCAGCCTAGAATAACGCCGCTGTGAGGCGTCCATTCTGCAAGGCGGCGAAGAGTGTAGTCAGACATGGCTTAAAGAGGAGAGCAATGATAGTAGTCTTTCTACGAAGAAAGCTTGTGAAAGATGAAAGTATGAAGACTCAGAACTGTGGTTGAAAGTTGGATTGAAGGTTAAATTTACATAGCGTTCTCGCATGGAGAAGAAGGGTTTTTATATTACGCCCTTTGTCCTTACGCATTTCCCCTTAACTACAACAATAGCTTGCCTCTTCCTCTTCAGGTACCCATATTAGTCAATTTAATGCTTCTCTTATCCTTATTCTTACATGTCTACATCAATATTACTCATAGCTAGAGTCTAAATTGCACTAACAATGCAAATACATGTACCCGTAGCAAGGAGTAGATGCGTACATGTATATGATTGTAAGCGCACATCTATCCGGTTTCAGAAATGGTGGATTTATTTTAGCTTAATAAGACATAATATACATTAATCTCCATGCCAATGATTTCGCCAATAAGCTTCAACCAAATGCGGCTACCGAGACTAGCTACATACCACAAGGATAAGCCGCATCTTGCAGCCTTATCATAAGATTGTCATATAAAGAGTATATCTAATAGTTTTTATTGGCCGTTCATCCCTGGCTTTGATGAAATATATTCCAGCCTTCTATGTCAGTAATAAAGCGAGTAATCCTATGTATACTGACCACGCTCCGTACTCGTAGTATATATATCTGTTTGTTTACTACATACATAACATCAATAAAATATCATAAACTCATTAACAATGCAATTCATGCCTAATACTTTAATACTTGATTTAATCTTATAACGAGGCAATATACCGAACAATTATGCTGGTATTACGCTTTTGGTTCGCACATGTACTATTATTGATAATATGTTTTGTGTT